GTAATTAGTGAGTTCTAATTTAATCTTAGTTTGTGATATATGTTTTCATGTGGCACTTGTATTTTTATCACGCTGTCACGTTGGATATACTATATCGAAGTTAAAATGTTTTATGTTGAACTATGTTTGATTATTGGATATTATGATGGGGACGTATAAATTGTTGTAACAACTATTGCATACCGCTTTCATTGCTTCTTACTATCACATACTTCTCTGATAATGTGTTTCCATATTTTAGGAATTTTCTTAATAGTTGATACTCAACAATACTTAAAAAAGTAAGCTTCAATTTGTCTTTCTTGCCAAATTAACAATTTGCCCCATAGATACGCACAGTCAGCTGCTAAATGGTATTCTAGGAAAAACCTTTAGTGACAAACCCAGTCGTCGGCGCTCGGTCCACAGCGACATTCGACGCCTAAATGTTTCACCAGAAACCTAAGATTGGTGTTGATGACACTGAATCTTTCTTCTGGAATATCAGTTATCTCAGCTATTTGTGTAGCATCTTTAATTTCTGACGAAAACACAATCTTCTAAAAACCTTTGGCAATTTAAGAAAGTTATGTGAAGTCTTCTAAATAAGTGAATTTTTTTTTGTGGTTTGGTAATTAGTGAGTTCTAATTTAATCTTAGTTTGTGATATATGTTTTCAGGTGGCACTTGTATTTTTATCACGCTGTCACGTTGGATATACTATATCGAAGTTAAAATGTTTTATGTTGAACTATGTTTGATTATTGGATATTATGATGGGGACGTATAAATTGTTGTAACAACTATTGCATACCGCTTTCATTGCTTCTTACTATCACATACTTCTCTGATGATGTGTTTCCATATTTTAGGAATTTTCTTAATAGTTGAGACTCAACAATACTTAAAAAAGTAAGCTTCAATTTGTATTTCTTGCCAAATTAACAATTTGCCCCATAGATACGCACAGTCAGCTGCTAAATGGTATTCTAGGAAAAACCTTTAGTGACAAACCCAGTCGTCGGCGCTCGGTCCACAGCGACATTCGACGCCTAAATGTTTCATCAGAAACCTAAGATTGGAGTTGATGACACTGAATCTTTCTTCTGGAATATCAGTTATCTCAGTATTTGTGTAGCATCTTTAATTTCTGACGAAAACACAATCTTCTAAAAACCTTTGGCAATTTAAGAAAGTTATGTGAAGTCTTCTAAATAAGTGAATTTTTTTTGTGGTTTGGTAATTAGTGAGTTCTAATTTAATCTTAGTTTGTGATATATGTTTTCAGGTGGCACTTGTATTTTTATCACGCTGTCACGTTGGATATACTATATCGAAGTTAAAATGTTTTATGTTGAACTATGTTTGATTATTGGATATTATGATGAGGACGTACAAATTGTTGTAACAACTATTGCATACCGCTTTCATTGCTTCTTACTATCACATACTTCTCTGATAATGTGTTTCCATATTTTAGGAATTTTCTTAATAGTTGATACTCAACAATACTTAAAAAAGTAAGCTTCAATTTGTCTTTCTTGCCAAATTAACAATTTGCCCCCATAGATACGCACAGTCAGCTGCTAAATGGTATTCTAGGAAAAACCTTTAGTGACAAACCCAGTCGTCGGCGCTCGGTCCACAGCGACATTCGACGCCTAAATGTTTCACCAGAAACCTAAGATTGGTGTTGATGACACTGAATCTTTCTTCTGGAATATCAGTTATCTCAGCTATTTGTGTAGCATCTTTAATTTCTGACGAAAACACAATCTTCTAAAAACCTTTGGCAATTTAAGAAAGTTATGTGAAGTCTTCTAAATAAGTGAATTTTTTTTGTGGTTTGGTAATTAGTGAGTTCTAATTTAATCTTATTTTGTGATATATGTTTTCAGGTGGCACTTGTATTTTTATCACGCTGTCACGTTGGATATACTATATCGAAGTTAAAATGTTTTATGTTGAACTATGTTTGATTATTGGATATTATGATGGGGACGTATAAATTGTTGTAACAACTATTGCATACCGCTTTCATTGCTTCTTACTATCACATACTTCTCTGATGATGTGTTTCCATATTTTAGGAATTTTCTTAATAGTTGAGACTCAACAATACTTAAAAAAGTAAGCTTCAATTTGTATTTCTTGCCAAATTAACAATTTGCCCCATAGATACGCACAGTCAGCTGCTAAATGGTATTCTAGGAAAAACCTTTAGTGACAAACCCAGTCGTCGGCGCTCGGTCCACAGCGACATTCGACGCCTAAATGTTTCACCAGAAACCTAAGATTGGTGTTGATGACACTGAATCTTTCTTCTGGAATATCAGTTATCTCAGCTATTTGTGTAGCATCTTTAATTTCTGACGAAAACACAATCTTCTAAACACTTTGGCAATTTAAGAAAGTTGTGTGAGTCTTCTAAATATGTGAATTTTTTTTGTGGTTTGGTAATTAGTGAGTTCTAATTTAATCTTAGTTTGTGATATATGTTTTCAGGTGGCATTTGTATTTTTATCACGCTGTCACGTTGGATATACTATATCGAAGTTAAAATGTTTTATGTTGAACTATGTTTGATTATTGGATATTATGATGAGGACGTACAAATTGTTGTAACAACTATTGCATACCGCTTTCATTGCTTCTTACTATCACATACTTCTCTGATAATGTGTTTCCATATTTTAGGAATTTTCTTAATAGTTTATACTCAACAATACTTAAAAAAGTAAGCTTCAATTTGTATTTCTTGCCAAATTAACAATTTGCCCCCATAGATACGCACAGTCAGCTGCTAAATGGTATTCTAGGAAAAACCTTTAGTGACAAACCCAGTCGTCGGCGCTCGGTCCACAGCGACATTCGACGCCTAAATGTTTCATCAGAAACCTAAGATTGGAGTTGATGACACTGAATCTTTCTTCTGGAATATCAGTTATCTCAGATATTTGTGTAGCATCTTTAATTTCTGACGAAAACACAATCTTCTAAAAACCTTTGGCAATTTAAGAAAGTTATGTGAAGTCTTCTAAATAAGTGAATTTTTTTTGTGGTTTGGTAATTAGTGAGTTCTAATTTAATCTTATTTTTTGATATATGTTTTCTGGTGGCACTTGTATTTTTATCACGCTGTCACGTTGGATATACTATATCGAAGTTAAAATGTTTTATGTTGAACTATGTTTGATTACTGGATATTATGATGGGGACGTATAAATTGTTGTAACAACTATTGCATACCGCTTTCATTGCTTCTTACTATCACATACTTCTCTGATGATGTGTTTCCATATTTTAGGAATTTTCTTAATAGTTGAGACTCAACAATACTTAAAAAAGTAAGCTTCAATTTGTATTTCTTGCCAAATTAACAATTTGCCCCCATAGATACGCACAGTCAGCTGCTAAATGGTATTCTAGGAAAAACCTTTAGTGACAAACCCAGTCGTCGGCGCTCGGTCCACAGCGACATTCGACGCCTAAATGTTTCACCAGAAACCTAAGATTGGTGTTGATGACACTGAATCTTTCTTCTGGAATATCAGTTATCTCAGCTATTTGTGTAGCATCTTTAATTTCTGACGAAAACACAATCTTCTAAAAACTTTGGCAATTTAAGAAAGTTATGTGAAGTCTTCTAAATAGGTGAATTTTTTTTGTGGTTTGGTAATTAGTGAGTTCTAATTTAATCTTATTTTTTGATATATGTTTTCTGGTGGCACTTGTATTTTTATCACGCTGTCACGTTGGATATACTATATCGAAGTTAAAATGTTTTATGTTGAACTATGTTTGATTACTGGATATTATGATGGGGACGTATAAATTGTTGTAACAACTATTGCATACCGCTTTCATTGCTTCTTACTATCACATACTTCTCTGATGATGTGTTTCCATATTTTAGGAATTTTCTTAATAGTTGAGACTCAACAATACTTAAAAAAGTAAGCTTCAATTTGTATTTCTTGCCAAATTAACAATTTGCCCCCATAGATACGCACAGTCAGCTGCTAAATGGTATTCTAGGAAAAACCTTTAGTGACAAACCCAGTCGTCGGCGCTCGGTCCACAGCGACATTCGACGCCTAAATGTTTCATCAGAAACCTAAGATTGGTGTTGATGACACTGAATCTTTCTTCTGGAATATCAGTTATCTCTCTATTTGTGTAGCATCTTTTATTTCCGACGAAAACACAATCTCCTAAAAACTTTAGCATTTTGAGAAAGTTATAAAGTCTTCTAAATATGTGAATTTTTTTTGTGGTTTGGTAATTAGCGAGTTATAATTTAATCTCATATTTTTATATATGTTTTCTGGTGGCACGTGTATTTTTATCACGCTATCACGTTGGATATACTATATCGAAGTTAACGAAGTTAAAATGTTTTATGTTGAACTATGTTTGATTATTGGAAATTATGATGAGGACGTACAAATTGTTGCTAATTTGTAATGCCATTTCAAAAGGTAACATCTCTTTGAACTTGTCGAAAAGGAACTTCCGGAAAATAGCTCATTGCAGATGGCTTACGATCGCAAACCAGATTTTACGATTATATGTCCCTACAGCGAAACCATCACAAAATCTAACTATTCTAACAGAATATGTCATACAAGTATATGCCACCACATGGTTTGCAATCAAAATGCAACCATTATGTCGACAAGGGAGCAAGCATCTATTTGGTGTGATTGAAAAATCATGATTTTTACCAGAAGATTTGAGAAAAATCTTAGACCCAGTAATTTAAAGAAATGGCAGTTTCGGTCATCCTGAAAATGTATTATTGGCTACGTTGGCCAATATACTTATAGTCGCAAAACAGTGAGAGAAAAAGAAGATTATTGAAGTGTAGGAAAACAGCAAATCAATAAGAAATTCGGGAATTCAAATTGCCATCTTTAAATTTTTATGCTGAAGACTACATCGATATGATTGACTGGCAGTAGACAACAATAACAGAACCTCCCCGGACAAAATGTATTTCCAATGAAGAACTAGAAGAAATGATTTTAGATGTTCCAGCTGAAATTGAAATTCTAAAATATCCATGCCACACGCAAGCAGTGGAAAGGTGCATCAAATTAGTAACAGAAGCGTCAGTTGCTGTATGTGGAAATACAGCAGGGGATGGATTTATAAGCGAACGAATTGCTTCTAGAGCTAGTTTGTCAGTATTCGAGACAAAAAGTAAATATCTTCAAGTTTTTAATGAAAATTAATCACAAAAGTACAAATAAGGGTGGGAGGGCGGTGGAACTCGATATGCAGCTACCTCCACGCGGTGAGTTCTGGGTTATTTCCATCAAAAATTACGAATTTTTTAAGGAAATAAGCGAAGAGCTGCATCACGGCATTAAAAAATATTTATCTTTATTTTTTTAAATTTCACGGTTAAATGGGCAGTAGAAGATGGCAATATTTTAGGTCACTTTTTTTTTTAGAATAGACCATTATATTAGGCAACTTTTCCACATATAGTTCAATTAATTTAGGGATATTTTTTTTCGAGCCAGTTTTCACTTCCACCCTAACGCACAGTCAGCTGCTAAAAGGTATTCTAGAAAAAACCTTTAGTGACAAACCCAATCGTCGGCGCTCGGTCCACAGCGACATTCGACGCCTAAATGTTTCACCAGAAACCTAAGATTGGTATTGACGACACTAAATCTTTCTTCTGGAATATCAGTGATCTCGACTATTTGTGTAGCATCTTTTATTTCCGACGAAAATACTATTTTCTAAAAACTTTAGCAATTTGAGAAAGTTATGGAGTCGTCTAAATATGTGAATTTTTTTTGTGGTTTGGTAATTAGTGAGTTCTAATTTAATCTTATTTTTTGATATATGTTTTCTGGTGGGACTTGTTGTATTTTTATCACGCTGTCACGTATATCGAAGTTGACGACGTTAAAAGGTTTTATGTTGAACTATGCTTGATTATTGGAAATTATTATGTTGTCGTACAAATTGGTGTAACAACTATTGGACACCGTTTTCATTGCTTGTTACTATCACATACTTCTCTGATAATGTGGTTCCTTATTTTAGGTATTTTCTTAATAGTTGGTCCTCAACAACACTTAAAAAGTAAGCTTCAATTTGACTTCTTTGCCAAATTAAAAATCTGCCCCCATAGATACGCACAGTCAGCTGCCAAATGGTATTCTAGAAAAAACCTTTTGTGACAAACCCAGTCGTCGGCGCTCGGTCCACAGCGACATTCGACGCCTAAATGAATCTAACTGAATCTTTCTTCTGGAATATCAGTTATCTCAGCTATTTGTGTATCATCTTTTATTTCCGACGAAAACACAATCTTCTAAAAACTTTAGCAATTTGAGAAAGTTATGAAGTCGTCTAAATATGTGAATGCATATGAATATGAATATGAATATGAATATGCACCGTCGTCCGTCCTTTTTAATCTGAATTCGCGAGGACGCGATGTTTAACTCAATGTTGGAAATCTAGAAACACCTATACAAATCAGGGATAATTGCTGATTTTATTTGATTCAGACAAGAAAACTCTCCAACTTAATGAAAAGAAGACTCAAAAGGCTACTGCTAGAAGACGTACGTAATTTATAGTGAACCACTGATAGAAAAAAACCTTCCTTCTTACAGTATCCATTGAATAGACTATAAATTGCAGTAAATAATTAAAATTGAACGATATAAAGCCTTAAACTTTTATATAAAAGAAGATATTCCATAGATATTACTTTGAACTACAAATAAACTAAAAAACCAGACTCAATCTAGACAATTGATGTTTAGTGTCTGCGCAAGTGAGTTCATTGATTGGCGACAGAACTAGAAACAGGAGGACGGCCACCTCATCGTAGCCGTATATCAAAAGATATTAAATCCCACTTAATGTAGGCACCACCTACTTTATTTTGTTATAGCTAATCACGACAACAGTTGCCACTCTCTATTTTATTTCCGCCTCAAGCAGTTACCGACAGCGGTTGATATATGGACAGTACCGTTGCCTATTGTCGTTAATGAGTATCACTGGACTTTTGTACTTCAAGTATTCATTCACACAGAGCGCGATCTATTATTTTAGACCTATTAGAGTATATTTTATTTGGCATTGTTTTTATTCACGTCCGTACAATATAGAAATAATACACCTAGTCAATTTTACTAACTAGTGACATTTTTTCTAAACTAATTGGTAAAAAGTACTGAAATCGAAAGTACTTAATAACAAATTCCAAGCAAACTACTTAAAAACTAAAAACTGTATATAAAATAAATTTATATAGAAGCATTTTTGAAACGAAGCTTCTATAGTGGCGTTGTTTTTTACTTTTTCACTATAGTGAAATGCTGAAGAGAGCGTCACGAAACTAGCGCCACAAAATGCATTCGTCACAAGTAGCTTTATGGAGTAGCGGGTATTTACATCGATTCACTACTCTCGATCAATTATCAATCAATTTCCCGAACACAGGAAAGACGAACAATAAGTCGTAAGACGAAAAGTAGACAAGATATGTAGAAATAAAAAAAGAGCCTATGAAATTTTACAAATAGAAAAAATGGAAGAAAATTTAAAAAATAACGAAATTAGAGGGGCTTGCGAATACCAAAAAAGATAAAAAGTAGGTATAAACCTTAAGCAAGTCTACGTAAAGATAAAAGTGGGCAAATAATCAGTGACCAACTGAAAGTCACAGAAACCTGGAAGCATTATTTTCAGACCCTACTTGGTACACAAGTAGGCATGGTTACGAAGTAAGTAGAAGAGAATGAAGTAAAGAATGGATTAGAAGCTTCAACCATAGAGAAAGTTCTTGAAGCTATTAAGTCCCAGAAAAACAATAAAGGCCCGAGAGTTGACGAAATACCAGCACAATTGTATAAGATGGTGGCGACCACCTAACAAGTCACATCCATGCGCTAATCAAAGACACGTGGCAAGAAGGGAAAATACTTGACGACTGGAAGAAAAGTATAGTATGCCCGGTCTATAAAAAAGGAGACAAAATTCAATGCAAAAACTACCGTGGAAGCCGAGAGCTATATAGACGATATGCTTACAAAACTGGAGCAAGAGTAGGGGCTGGAGGAAGATAATAAACCTCCCATGAACGCCATCTACTGTACAACACGAAACATAACCGTTCGAGGATAAAATCCAGAAAAAGGCTCGACTGGAAGGCCTGGAGGACCCTACAGCATATTAGAACTGACGTAGCTCCAGTAAAGATTAACAAGACAAAGTGGAAGCTGCAAACTACTATTGGCAAAATGTGAGAATATGGAGAACAAAATATGGAACATCTGCTGTCATGCCCAAGATGTCTTGGTCCGTCATAGTATTAAGAGAACCCAAAAAATATAAGTTAGCAATTTATAATAAAAGTGTGAAGTTAGTCATGTCTTTCAAATATCTAGATGCTAATATTACAAGCAATGGAAATCTGAAACAAGAAATACAAACCCAAGCGATATCAGCGGCTAGGGTATCAGGATTTCTCTACGATGTAATATGGAGAACCAAACGTATGAGCATCAAAGGCAAAACAAAAATTTACAAAATATATGTAAGATCTATTATTATGTAAGTAGATTGTGGAGCCCTACAATTAATATACAAACAGCCCAGTATTTAGTTAGAGGAGAAAAATCAGAAAGCCTACAAATTGTGATCTATATAATTATATAAGAACTATAAGATAAAAGAAATATAAGAACTGTAAAATCAACTGAAACCTTCATATTCTGGGAAGTCCAAATAACATCAAAAGCAGTGAGTAACGAAGAAACGCACTCTATTATAGGATTAACCAAATAAGATCCGCCATTAGACCAGGTAGACCAAGACGGTCATGGAGAGAAGATGTCGAAGATGCAATTAGCGCCAGAAATTTAAAAACTGGAAACTTTGCTTCGGCAGAAAACGCAGGAAATTAGAATGTGAGAAACGGCGCCAGCTGTAGAAGACTCGTCTACTATATAATATATTATAAGCAATTTTCCGAATAGTTCACTTCGCTTGCATTTTTTTCACAAAATAATGCCAATATATTTAATATTTCCTTTTGAGATTTATATATTATATTATTTTTTTCTAATAGGTTTAGCGACTTTTGTGATTTTATATTATACTAATAATCCCAGTACTAATAATCGAATAGACATAGAAATGTTTGATAGCGCAAGTAAACCTCCATATTGTCTCTTTCCCAACACCACTAAACCCATAAATAACATCAGTCACAAAAAACAATAAATACCACTAACGCTGTTTTAAAGTAATAAAAATTCCTGGTATTTCGATGGATGATGCAGATTGAATATCCATGTAAACCAATCTGATTATGTAAGTATTCGGTACGGATTTCTTTACTTAAAAGATTTAAAAGGAATACCTATATTTTATAGCTTTATATTTTATTACGAGATGCTTGATTAAGAACTGGTTCCTAAAAGAAGTTTGTTTTTAAGTACCTCATAGAACAAACCGTAATTGGGTGTATAAATTAGAAGAAATATTAGGTAGGTAGTACCTACTTTGACCTGTACGGCTATGCATGTTGGTCTCATGCTGGGTTTTTTAGTACACGGATGTTTGTATCCGAGCTATTGGGCAATATATACGTTAACTGTATAATCATCCGTAATTAAACTGAAAACAGAAGGTATTTTTTTTAAATATCTTCGAAAAAATATACATATTTTTGTGTAAGAAATGACGTTATTTTTAAAATTTAACAAAATCATATTTTAACCACCATCCCGACGGAACAGACCATGCGGTAATCATAGCTCAGCTCATCCGTTAAACATAACATTTGACAACATAACATAACAAGTTATTCCACACCTAAAATTCAGAGCACTTCAATTAGAATGGAAACGTTCTCATGGCCATTGATTGTCGCAGCTATTAGACATAATATCCTGGTTAAAGAATATGACAGCTTCTTCCAAACCCTTGGCTCGTACCTGGTAGCAGGCGATTGGAATGCCAAAAATACATTATTCATTAATAGAGCAGTAATTGACGAAATTTTCTCAACACAAAGATCTTTAGATTTACCCGTCTAAAAATTCCAATTCAAGATTAATCTTGTTGTTTTGTGATTAAAAATTAACAAAAATCAAAAGTAACACTATTATTTAATAATGTCAATATTACTAGTGCAAATTTTAAATAAACTTGCCAGAAATCTACGTTTTAAGTAAGAAAACTCAAAATA